GCCTTTGGCTTGCGACACCGCCTCTCCTCCTCTTCCTCTTCCTCCTCCTCCTCCTTCCCCCCGCACGTACGATGGGCAACGTCGTCTCCGCCATCTCCGGCGGCAGCCAGGGCCAGATCGAGTCTCGTAAGGCAGAGCTCGAGGACAAGCTCGCCGACCGCGAATCCACCATCACAGCGCTCGAGAAGGACCTCTCCAAGAAGGAGAAGGAGTACACAACCCTCTCCAGCGAGGCCGAGGACCTGCGTCTCAAGATCAAGGAGCTCTCTGACAAGTCGACCTCGACCGAGCAGGAGACCCAGACGCGCATCGCGAAGCTGCAGTCGGAGCTCGAGGCCACCAACGCCAAGGCCGCCGAGGGCTCCGCCGCCCACGCTTCCGAGCTCGAGGCCGCCACCAAGCAGCTGACCCGCCTCCAGGAGGAGCTCGACAAGCTGCACCTCGACAAGAAGACGCTCGCCGACGACGTCGCCAGCCTCAACAAGCAGCTCGCCTCGGCCAAGGCGGACCGCGACACCCTCGAGGCCTCGCTCCGGGACGAGATCGCCTCGCTCCAGACCCGTCTCGCCGACGCCGAGACGAGCCAGGGCGCCCTGAAGGACGCCCTCAGCAAGCTCGAGGCCGAGGGCGCCACCTCGTCCAAGACGCTCGGCGAGAGGGACGAGGCCTACAAGGCCCTGCAGCAGGTGCTCGACAAGCTCAAGACCGACACGGACGCCCAGCTCGCCACCTCCAAGCAGGACCTGTCGGCGGCCGAGGACAAGTTCACCACCCTGCAGAAGACCCACGACACCCACAAGACCGAGTCGGAGACGCAGCTGTCGGCTGCCAAGAAGGACCTCGTCGATGCCAACGACAAGCTGAGCGCCCTGCAAAAGGGCCACGAGACGCTCAAGTCTACCTCCGAGGCTGACCTCGCCGCCGCCAAGAAGGAGGTTGCCGAGATCCAGGCCAAGCTCAATGCTCTGCAGGAGTCCCAGGGCAAGGCCTCTGCCGATTCCGAGGCCGAGGTCGCCGCCACCAAGAAGGAGCTCGCCGAAACTAAGGAGAAGCTCGCTGCCCTCGAGGCATCACAGACCAAGGCCACGGCCGACTCAGAGGCCGTTGTGGCGGCCACCAAGAAGGAGCTGGCCGAGACGCAAGAGAAGCTCGCCGCCCTGCAGGAGGCTCAGACCAAGGACAAGGCTGCTTCCGCCGAGGAACTCGCCGTTACCAAGAAGGACCTTGCCGACACCCAGCAGAAGCTGGCTGCTCTCCAGGAGTCCCAGGGCAAGGCCTCTGCCGACTCCGAGGCTGCCGTTGCTGCCACCAAGAAGGAGCTTGCCGAGACGCAAGAGAAGCTTGCTGCTCTCGAGGCCTCGCAGTCCAAGGAGAAGTCTGCCTCTGAGGAGCAGCTTGCCGCCACCAAGAAGGAGCTCGTTGACACCCAGAAGAAGCTCACCGACTTGCAAGAGTCTCAGACTAAGGAGAAGTCGGCTGCCGAGGAGGAGCTCGCGTCCGCGAAGAAGGAGCTCGCCGCCACACAGGAGAAGCTCGCCACTCTTGAGGCCTCCCAGTCCAAGGATAAGGCCTCTGCCGACAGCGAACTCGCTGCCGCCAAGAAGAGCCTGGCCGAGTCTGACGAGAAGTACAAGACCCTGCAGGCCGCACACGACAAGGCTCAGGCCGACTCGGCTGGTGAGTCTACCCAGGCCAAGAAGGACCTGGCCGACCTCCAGGCCAAGTTTGCCGAGCTCGAGAAGACCAACGAGGCTCTGAAGAAGGATTCCACTTCCGAGCTCGAAGCCGCCAAGAAGGACGCCGCCACCTGGCAGGAGAAGGCCGAGAAGTCCGAGGCTTCCCAGAACACCCTCACCAAGGATCTGGAGGCTGCCAAGAAGGATCTCGCCTCTACCCAGGATCAGAGCAAGGCCGCCGAGGCCAAGCACGAGTCGGAGCTGCAGAAGGCGCGCGACGAGGCCACCAAGGTCGGTGCCAGCGTCGAGGGCGAGACCAAGAAGCTCAAGGAGGCCCACGAGGCTGAGCTGAAGAAGGTTCGCGACGAGGCCGAGAAGGCCGCCAAGGCCAGCTCAGACAAGGCTACTGCCGACGCCGAGGCTGCGAAGAAGCAGCTGGCGGAAGAGCAGGAGAAGGCCGCCAAGGCTGCCGCTGAGCTCGAGAGCAAGCTTAAGGCTGCCACCACGGAGCAGGAGAAGGCCGCTAAGGTCGCTGCTGAGCTCGAGGCCAAGCTGAAGGCGTCTGATGAAGAAAAGGAGAAGGCCGCCAAGGCTATTTCCGAGCTTGAGACCAAGCTGAAGTCTGCGACCGAGGACCAGGCGAAGGCCACCGCTGAGCTTGAGACCAAGGTCCAGGCCCTGCAGAAGGAGCAGGAGGCTGCTGGCGTCAAGGCTAAGGACCTGCAAGAGGAGCACGCCTCCCTGCTGAAGCTTCGCAAGGACGATGAGAGCAAGCTGTCTGCTCTCAAGGAGCAGGCCGAGGCTGCCGAGGGTAAGGCGACGAAGGCTGCTGGCCAGGTCGAGTCTCTCCAGAAGGTAAGAGCCCCTAATCCATGCGCGTGCTTTCGGCCCCATGCTAACCGTCAACAGGAGAAGAAGGACCTAGAGACCAAGGCCTCCGAGGCTGCCGCCGAGACGGAGAAGGCCAAGAAGGCTGAATCTGATCTCAAGGCTCAGCTCGACGTCGCCAAGTCCTCCCTGACTGCTGCCCAAGACGACAAGAAGACTCTCGAGTCCAAGGCTGCCGACCTCTCCTCCGAAGCCGACAAGGCTAAGAAGGCCGAGGCCGAGCTGAAGGAATCTCAGTCCAAGCTCCAGTCCCAGCTCGACGAGGCCAAGGCCAGCCTGACCGCCGCCGAATCCGAGAAGAAAGACCTCGAGTCCAAGACGGCCGACCTTACCGCCTCTGCCGAGAAGGCCAAGAAGGCCGAGGCCGACCTCAAGACCCAGCTTGACGAGTCCAAGGCCGCCCTCGCCGCCGCGGAGAAGGAGACCAAGGCCGCCCTCGACAAGTTCGTCGCCGGCGAGAAGAAGCTCGAGGAGGCCCTCGCCAGCGCCAAGGCCGCCGCCGCCGAGGCCAGCGACAAGAAGACCAACGGCGACGCCAAGTCGTCCGTGTCTGTCGAGGAGAAGCCCGTCGAGGAGGGCGAAGCCGCCGCCACGGCCTGATGCAACTCTGTTTGAACGTTTGAACGAATTCTCTTTCTAACGGCCCCTTGCTTCATGAAAACACACCCCCTGCATGAAGATGATGATTTAAATCCCTAGCCCTCACCAGTTTGAAAAAGGTGGGGGAGAAGGGATTTGCATGACTGGCATGGAGCAACGCAATTCTATTCCGATCGATGATACCTATTTGTCGTTTTTTAATCATAATGCGTCTTGGTGGCAGGGGTTTGTACCCCTGCTCTGATTTTAACTCCTATTGTCCTCTCGTGCCGTGACTGAGATGTGATGCGAATTCGTGATGGAGTTCACTTGTGCGAGTATCATAGACTCCAAAAATGAAAGTTGGAACACCCCTTTTCCTTCACCCAGCCAGACACGAGCATGAAACAGGCAAGTCAAGTAGAACTCTGTGATACAATAGTCACAAGGTCAAGCAGCACTAAGGAACCGTTTTGACAGATAATCGCATGTAGTATTGTAGACGGCTCGCTCCCTCCATGATGAGAATACACAATGACGCCATTACCACGAGCCTTCCCCCAGAGATGACATGGCATAACAAGGCTATTTACCGAGCCCGGAAAAGCCGCTCTTCACCTCCGCCCTGGGCCACTCGAACAACGTGTCCCCGTTGTAGACATCGGCCGTCACGCGACTGATGCGCAGCTCCACGTCCCCGTAGAACTTTTCGCACTCCTTGAGCACCTTGGTGACGAGGTTCCGGCTGAGAGCCGGGTCGTCGGCGTCTCCAAAGTGTTTCTCGACGCGCTTCCGCAGCGTCTCGATGCCCTTGCGGACCTCCTTCGCGTCGTAGTTGCCAACGACCTTGTTGAAGACGCCCCTGGAGTTGGAGGGCTGGGCAGCGATGCTGGTGCCCGGCTTGCCGGAAGCGAGCTGCGCCTCAATGTTCTCGAGGTATTCGAGCAGCTTGCCGAGGGGGCGGCGCATGACGGCACCAATGTAGAGCTGCATGTGTTCGTCGAGCTCAGCCGTGGCGTTTGCACGCCACTCCTCGAGGACCTCCAGCCCGCGCGCATCCACCTCCTCGAGGAAGTGGTTTGCGTTTTCAATGAGCAGGATGTGGAAGTTGAGTGCTTCCTTGTCCTCCGAATCCGCCGAGGCGCCCGTGTTGACGGCAACGGCGGGGTTCTCTCTGGCGATGATCTTGAGCGAGTCAAACATGGATTTGAGTATGCGGTCATACTCGCGATCGACAGTGCCGCGAATGTTAAGGTTCTTGTCGACTCCGTTAAGAATGTTTTCCACGGCGGTGGAGAAATTGGGAAAGATGCGGATGAACGAGATGACGCCCTTTCGCTTGTTGATCTTGACTTTGGTTTCCTCGATTGCGCGAATCTGCTCATCGACAAATTTCTTGAACCGACCTTCGAGGGTGCTATGTAGCTTTTGGAGAAGTGTGTTAAGGAAGTCCTGGTTGGTCTGAGAAATTTCAGCCATTTTACGCTCCATAGCAGCGAGCACGCCGACGCCTTGGCTATGAAATAGTTAGCGATGTTTGCAAAGAAACGAACAGAATAGGGGCACATACAGGTTGTCTACCGTCAGGACCCATTGGACGAGTCCTGACAGTTCATTCTCCATGAACACAAAGATGACCTCCATAGCCTTGGTAACTCGGCGAGCGAGATCTCGGTCAGGCTCCATGAGGCGATGCCTCCTCAAGTCACCACCCTGCCGGTCCTTCGGCCTGAAAGCGGCAACAGCGTCTGGGAAGTCTGACTGGTCCAGCGTCGTTGCGTGAAAGAAATCCACGATAAAATTCTGTTCCATCTCGACCAGGGGCAAAATATCATCTAGGACGGAGCCAAATGTCTCGTAAGGCAAACTTTGGCCTTCGCTTGACTTGAGATTTGATCTGCTGCCGTCGAGAGGGCTGCGAAGGGATTTGGCCAAAGTCTGACTACGCTTGACCGTTAACTTCCTTGCAGTCGTGGCGATGCCTTCTTCCTTCTTTTCGGCATGTGATGTGAACAGTAATCAGACGTCTCGTCGGACGACATTTTGCGGGCGTCCTCTTCCATGCCGTCATGATTTGCTGGAACTCGCGTTTGTAGACGGGATGGTTCAAGTCCTGATACAGCTGCAGCAGACGGTCCCAATTCTTAAGATCGACGTCTCTGGCATACAGGATCAGGGGACTGTACTTCCAAAGGAGGTCTCTGCCGGCATCGTGGTGGTGCGAGTCGACCTTTCGTGACAGTGCTTCTCCAAGCTGGCGGCTCGTCTCGCTCGTTGCCTCTTGGAACTGCCGCGCCATGTATTCAACGAGGCGTCGCATGAATAGAGAGCTCTCTTGCATGTACATCTGCTTCTTCTCCTGGACGATGCGCATTTTGCCGTAGTCGCTGTTGTCGAGACCAAGTGACTGATCATTGTCGATGCCGCCGTCATTGCTTTTTCTTGATTGATCACCGCCTAATGTTGGGTCAATCTTCATCATGGCTTTGTAGAGCGTGACGAGAGCGCGCTCAATGTCCTCGAGGCCATTGAGGTTCTCAAGAGGTGCTCCTCGGAGGGCGCCAAGATCGTTCGATGTGATGGCCGTGGTTTCCAGCAACGACTCTAGCTCTTTTCTCAAGGTCTTCTGGTTGGCAGTCTGAACCTGCAGACCTTGCCCCTGCGCCTCAATGTATGCGATATCATCCGACAACGTCTGCTCGGGTTAGTCATGCAGCATGGTATAAGGGTCGCCGTCAGTTGTCAACATACTGATAGCTCAACGCTGTAGAGTGTCAGAAGATTGTCCAGCTCTTCGCACTCGGCAATGGCGGTATCGATACCGCGCTTGATACCATCGACTCGGTCATCGTCCTCCTTAAAACGTGCCAGCCATCCACCGGCTTGAGCCTTGTTGAGCTCACGATCGACGTCAATTCTCAATTCATCCATGTGTCGTGAACGCATTTGCTGACCCGGAACCCAGCCGAAAAAGTCGAGCCACTTCGTAAATTCACTGCTTTTGTTGTTCATTATCGATGGTCGACACCCAGTGTCGCCAGATACCTGGCATCGTTCCCGGCAATGACAAATTTTCGAGGGTCATCCTTGCGCATAGCATCGTCGGTCTTCGCAGCCTCAATTTCAGCCGGCTTGACCTCCTTGATTGAAGGCTGCAGGCTTGCAGGGCGACTCGAGTTGGGCACAGTGATCTTGACCTCTGGCAACGGAGGTACTGCTTCAGCGGCTGGAGCGGGCTCGGCAACCTGCGCCTTCTCGGCATCGGAGGATTTTGGTCGTGGAGGCGGCTGGAAGACGCCTGTAATTCCATCGGACCCGTCCTCGCTTGATTTGGTAGCAGCGAGACGCAGACGTTCTCCTGCACCACCCGGTCGCGGCTTAAAGGCGTTGGCTGCACTGGCAGCTTTCCAAAACGCGCCTGCGATTTCGCCCTTGGACTTCTTCGATTTGATCATGGGGCCAAGGCCTGGGCGGGACTCCTCGTCTTCGACTGCGTTGTCCACTGGAGATGGATCTGGCGGGGGCTCTGGTACCGCCATGGGAGCAGCACTGGAGACCGTTGATACAGAGCCGTTGCGAGGAGGCTTCAGATCTCCTGGGCCGTCGTTGGACGGCGGGGGTGCAGCTTCAGAAGCTGCTGGTGTGACGGGTCGATCCTTGAATGACCCGGGTGTGACTGGCCGTTCTTTGTAGGAGTTTGATTCTGACCTTTGCGATATTGAAGGCTTCCTGGGCGACATCCTATCAACGCTTCTAGGAGGAGGGGCAACGGGATCGCGTCGCATGCTTGGGCTCATCAATGGCGCGGGTACCAAATCCTTGTCAGCAATACCCTGGGGCCGCAAAGGATCCATCGGTGGGCGCTTTCGTTCGGGCGGTCTCTCGTCTTGTGTTTGCGGTTGTGTTGTTGGCACTTGTTCTGCGGTATCACCGTATCTTCCGAAGGCCCCTGGCCCTGGCTGGCCATTTCTGGATCTTGGCGGCAGGCTGGAGGCATCATCGCTCCTCGTCGCAAAGGACGCAGCGACAGACTCTTGGCTTTTGTTGGCAGTGGCAAGTCGATTGAAGGCTGGTTGGTTTTGGGATATCGACGAGTTGACGCTACCACTCGGCGAATTCGTGCCGTTCTGCATATAAGGCGATCGACGGGCGGGAGGCGGCACAGCTGACTGCTGAAGGGAGTAGTTCGATGCAGCGGCAGCATTCGTGGATATTGTTGACGAGGAGGCTGAGAATCCGCTAACATTGCTGGATACACCTTCTGGCATCGGGCGGACGGCTCGGGCCCTGCTGCTGATCGGGAAGTTGTGGGACGCGACGGTGGTTGCCCTGGATTCTGAAGTGGCGGGGGTCGCCCAAGGCCTTGTTGCTGGGTCTGAAGTAGTAGGGCGCGACGGTGGTTGTCCTTGATGTTGCTGCGGTGGCGGCGGTCGTCTGCCACCACCCAGGACTTGATCCAGTTCTCGCTGATCAAAGCCCGTCAACTCGGGCGTCCTTCCTCCTGTATACTTCCCGAAGATCTTGATCAAGCTTGCTATGAAGAACTTCTTCTCCTTGTCGGATTGGGCGTTCCAGAAGTAGGGCTTGCCGATAGTCACGGTGAACCCAGTATCGCCTGCCCATTCTCGGTTCTGCGCAGTTGCCGTCGGGCCGGTAAAGGATTCCACGGTGGTCAGGTCGTCGAGGTTCCAGGTCTTGCCGATCGAAAAGGTGCCATTCGTGTTCTCCTTCGACTTGTGCATCCGTACGCGGCCAGACTTGCGCACCGCGACAATGATGACTCGTGGTTTCTCTGCATTCTGCCCGCGTGCTTGGGGAGGAGGTGGTGAGGTCGGGTAGGATGAGTATTCGGTGATTCGCACGTGGGTTATGTAGGTTTCGAGAACTGCGGGCGTTAGCTGGACGACAATGGCCGCGGTGCTGGTAGAAACGAGAACGTACGGGAGCCGTCGACATCCTTCTTACTGAAACAGCTCTCAATTATGCGCCGTTTCTCGTCCTCGAACCGCATCGCCCTGGCGTCCATGGTTGCGGTTGACGGCGTTGACGATTGGGGCGACGGGTATGTTGGAGTCGGGGTTCGAGGTCCGGGACGATGGACGTGTCGGCCCCTTTGGCTCTGGAACGAGCTGGAGCTTTGGTGTTGGTGCATTGGGTTGACGTATCGCGTCGCGGACGGTGAAGAAAATGAAAATGGGAGCAGCCAAACCTCCGTAACACCCTGTGACAAGCACTATCATGACTAGTTGAGATCCGTTGTCAGATGGAGATAGCGATTAGAGTGAGTATGGAGTGGACGGGAGCGAGATGGCGTGAGTAGGAGATAACTATGGATAGCGCTGTAGCGAAAACTCAAC